TAAAAAAGGTTTTTCAACTATGGTACTTGCAGCTTTGATACATGAAAATATACATATGAAATCTTCTTCTTATGGACGGCCAACAATATTCTGCTTCTGTTGCGCTTACTATGTTTTGACTTTTGAGTTTGTGTTCGGTTTTCGGTAAATGCTAAAATCGTTTGTAGGATTCCTTATCTTTAAAATTTCTTCTTGACGATTTTAACTTTCCTCTCAATTAATATGTTCTTTCTAATGTCCAGAGTGCAGTGACTTGGTTATGTTTTACCCCAAACTCAGAGCAGATCATCACTGCATCAAAGGATGGTTCAATGAGAATTTGGAATATTAATGGTATGTAGAGTGGTATCTATAATTTTCATGTGTAAACACCTTGCCTCATTTCATCTGATGGAGCTAAGATAATATTAGTAGAGTACATGAATATTGGTTTCACCTGGTGAATACAAAATTAATCTCTATTAAAATTGCATTATGTTTGCTAGATATATCCTTCATCTAATTAGTTCTTATCACTTCTAATTGGCATCTTTCCCTTTCCTGAAAACTTCATGTAATTGTAAAATAAATAAATAAAAAGCACTCATCTAACATGTAAAAATAGAAATTAATGCTTAAATTTAGCAACGAGCAATTAAGTAAATGTTTGATTTATAACTGTGATGCTGTAACGCTATATATTCTTTTACCAATCAGATTAAAGCTTCAATTGATTGATTGCTGATTTCTTTCTGTTTCACGTTAACCTGGATCGTTAGATGACTTTAGGCGACTGACATGTTCCTTGTATCTATATTTGCATAATTTTCGTTTTTCAAGTGCGATATCATCTCGATGAGGATCCAAAAACTCTCAAGGTGTTTCCAATTCCATCACATGATTCAAATGGTGCTACATTGCATTATGATCGTCTCAATATATCCCCTGATGGGAAGATACTAGCAACAACGCATGGTTCCACACTGCAGTGGTTATGTGTTGAGACTGGAAAGGTGTTGGACACTGCTGAGAGAGCTCATGATGGTATGTATAAGTTTAAATTATTACCGTTTCTTTTCTTCCCCGCTTATAGGTTATATTAATATTAATTACTCCCTTGAGAGCAAGATTACTTCTGTTAAAATTTTTCTTAGCATCATCTATAGAGTAAACCTTTTCTCAATACAACTAACAAAAAATACTTTAAAAAAATTTTACGGTATTCATAGACACATTGGGAAGTGTTTAACAATACTTGTATATACATCTTTTGTAATGGCCCAAACCCACCGCTAGCAGATATTGTCCTCTTTGGCTTTCCTTTACGGGTTTCCTCTCAAGGCTTTAAAATGCGTCTGATAGGGGGTTTCCACACCCATATAAAGGGTGTTTCGTTCTCCTTCCCAACCGATGTGGGATATCACATCTTTTCTTCGTTAAAACTTGGAGATGAAAAAGTATTTTATTTAAAACACTTCCCCTAAAAAAATCTGTTACACATTCTGAATCAGAGGACTACTTTTTGTAGTGAGAATTGTGATTACACTACGTTGGGTTTCATCTTCTTGTTAATAGGACAACCTAAACGAACCTGGATCTCTTAACTTCCCTTGTTAGGATACTGACCCATTATTTATCAATCAAGTGGTTGCATCCGAGTCCACATGTTTGCTAGTTCAAACATTTTGGGTCACCTTGTTGGGTTGTTTTTGTATACATGGATAAGTTTTTTCTAGTTTCTATATTTTCGTTTTTTTGTATCTCAGGATGACATTTGCCGTGTCTCCATAGGGTACATTAACAATTTCCCTAACCTAACGAGATTATCTTATTTGATTTGCGCAATTCGATATATAGTTAAGAACATTGTATTGATAATATTGTGTATCTTTTAACTGCCTATAGTACACGGGCTTTAGTGCATTGTCGAATTTAAGTTAAAAACTTGTGAATTAGGTCAGTTTTATCTACCCTAACATAGTTCATTCCTTCGGAAATTTGAACTTCCAGCTGACCGAGTACTGACTCTCAATTCCTAATGCAGGTGACATCACATGGATATCGTGGGCACCTAAGCCTATTCCATCAGGTAAAACCTCGTCCCATTTCTTCTGAATTATCTCATTTCGCTTTCTAAGATATGGAAATATTAGAGAAATTAATTTGACAAATATAAAAACGAGAGAATTAATATATATATATATATATATAATATAAATTAACGACAACCAAAAAGTAAAATTTGATATTTGATGATTTTTTAATTTGACAAATTTTATTTTTATTAAATTATATATAAAAATTTGATGATTCTTTTAAAACTACATTATTGTATTATGTCATTTCGTTAAAAGTTTGTACAGAAAAATTACGTGAGCATGACTTGAATTGAAATGATAGGAATTAAAGTAATGAGTGGAGAATAAAATACAAAGTAAAAAAGAAACGATTCTGATTTTGACCATATCTGGAATTTACAAAGCTAAAAAACATTGTTCCGATTCTAGGCGCTTTTGTAACTATTCTTGTTGGTCTGTTTCAATCAACTCGAACTCCTTGTAGTCTAGCTCATTTTTGTGGATTTTCACGTTTTTGTGTGCCCCAGTAGTCTTTCATTTTTTTTTTCTAGTCAAGTGGTTTTCATGAGTGGAAAAAAAATTGGGATTTTATTCAACTTAAAATATATATTCATTTTTGGCACACACCAAAAATGTATTACTCAACCTTGCCTTTCTATTTTACTTTATAGGGGAAGTGGTTGATCTGTATAAAAAAAATGACGTAACAATATAATAAAATATCTAATCGCTTCTTTTGTAACAGGAGATAAAAATGTATTGGTTTTGGCTACTGCGAGCGTGGACAAGAAAGTAAAACTATGGGCTGCACCCTCGCTGAGTTGAAGCACGAAATGGATTTGTTGGCTAAGATAAAAAAAGTAAGTTCGGCTACGAGCCTCCTGATTTGGTATGTCGAGTGGTTTTGTTGAAAAAGGGTTTTGTCTAAATTCCATAGCGGAAGTCAACAATTTCAACACCTGCCGCCGAATCTAACAGGTAAGATTACTGGATCTCTGTCTTAACAATAGAGCGTTTTGGTAACATTATCGCTTTCAAACGTGAGAAGCTTTTTGAAACTAAAACTTTTTGGATGCATAAAAAGTGAGGAAATTAATAGGGGTTTTAGATTTCAAATTATTACTAGTTAAAAGAGAGATTTGTTTGTTCACGGACGTTTGCGTTAAGGCACGGTTGATTTGAACAACTTTAAAAAGATTTGGTTGTCTTTTGTTTTTTTGTTTGTTTTTTATTCTGTGTTTTATGCTGGAACTAAGTGATTTAGGGTTTAGGGTTTATGAATTTTGCCACGTTTCATACCAACATTACTTTGTTGTCTGTGTAAAAATTAATGATGCCTATGAACTTTGGTCGTGCTATTTATGTATGCATTAATAAGGTTAAGTTGGAGCAAATTTGTGGACCTAATTTAATTATTTTAGAACCTAGTTGAGGTACATTTGGTCTAATTCATTAATGAAATGTTTGTGTTTGTGTTTGGTTAAATATTAGTAATTAGATCCATTAATGATTTCCTCGATGTATTATATTTAGTTTCGTTATTCACGCTAATTTCTGTGATGTGATGTACAATTTAGAACATTTGATCCTTTGTGTTTGCTTTTTTTATTACCTTCATAATTTGTTTGTTTGATAACCTTTTTCTTTTGTAATCTACTTTCAAAATTGTCATTTTACTTTTGTTCTTTCTCTCATTTATGAAAACAAGTGATGCTGAATACATAGTCAATTATCTATTTAAAAAATTTCATAAGTGCTTATAAAATTGAACTCATTTTTTCTTTTCTTTTTAAAAAAATTGTGACTAAATCTTGGAAGAAATTGATGAATGTTTTCAACAAGTGAATTTTTAAAAATAGAAAGAAAAATAAGTGTTTAAAACAAGCATAAAAATTATTTTTAAAAAATTGGAGAATTTAAATTTTAGAATATTTACTGAATGAAATGGAGATTAGTAAGGTCACATCCTAAATGGTACAATGATGTCTATAATCTAATCTTGACATTTTGTAAAAACAAAATTAATATGATCCCTACGCTTACAAATTAAAATATGGTAAAATTCAGTTAGTAGGACTATCTTGTCCTTTAAACAAATAAATATGGTTTTACATGGGATTATTTTTTGACCTAATTCATTTATTAAAAGATCTAGTAAGATAATATTGAGGATCAATTTAATCTAAATATGTTGTATTTAAATTAAATTTATTTGAGTTAGCTTGGGCCAATCACCTAAACATTGAATTAGGAGTAGTGTTTAACTATCGTATTTAAAGCATCTATGAAAAATGGGTCCAATCTATGAAGAGCTAAGTTGATATAACCCAAATAGCCTAAGCAAACTAAGCTCAATTCAATTCAACCTATCAGATAATCTAGTCGTGTAATATTTTTGACAAAATGGTTTTAAAGTATTCACTACTTGAAGGGCAAAAATTTATATGTTTCAGGTCTTAAGTCATATGTTTTCAACCTAATTTCTAAAAAGAAGAAAAAAAAAGAACACTAACCTCTTCGTGGTAAATTATTTCTAGACCAGTGTTGTATCAATTAAAAAAAGCTAACACGTGACATGACAAAAGGAAAAAATAATAACGCCCACCGTGGGGCTCGAACCCACGACCACAAGGTTAAGAGCCTTGCGCTCTACCAACTGAGCTAGACGGGCCATGTTGGTAAGCAACAAGGTCAAATCTAAAAATTAATTTTACTCCAATACTTTGATTAACATTTCACATAATGTTTTCTTCTCTCAACTATATTAATGGAGAAATTTGCTAAAGAAATGAAGTTGTTTGGCTATAAAAACACTATATATATATATATATATATATATATATATATAATAAAGTTATATCTAATGACACAGAAATCAAGTGCCAAAACAAAAAAGGCACACGCAAAACTTCTAAAAAATGTGGTTGTTTAAAGAATATGCCATTCACTCTGTAATTTTCTAGAATTTTTGTATTGGATGTTCAGAATTTATAGAATCCAATCGCCTCCTCACTTCAAATACAGAGAACAAATCTGCCTACACTAATTCTAATGGTTTTAAATATTTCGTGTTTGAAGCTTTAACCTAAATCAATAAAGAAATAACTCCCAACCTCTTCTTGGAATAGATTTCTTTTTCTTCTGAGATTTTTTTCGGCATGGCTAATTACTTTCTTTTTCTAAATAACTATTATTTGTACTAAAAATTGTCAAAACCGAATAGAATACACAAGGTTGAGAGCCTTGTGCAAGATCAACGGACTTAAACGGGTAGTTTTGCTATTTGACATTTTATTCAAAAATACATATCTTAACCAATTTATCTATTTCTAGATTTGTTTCTAATCTAATTGCATTTTTGGGGAAAAAAAACATAATCGAGATTAGTAATCAACCTACCAAGCTTTGAGAATACCTTTTGTGAAAAACATAAAAACAGAAGAAAAAAATTACCTTTGCCCACCATGGGGTTCGAACGATCTCAAGGTGAAGAGCCTTATACCCTACCGACTTGAAGCTGTTAATGATATCACATGTTTTTGCGCCTCCGCCTTGTAGACACCTAAGTAGAAAATTAAATGGTTAAAGAAATAGACAGGAGAAAATATCCCGTATGAAAATTTTCAGGGAAGCATCAATGAATTAAGTCTCCATGACGAATGAGTTGAGCATCTCCATGTTTGCAAGTAAAATAATACCAAGTTCAAGTAAATGTGAAATGTCTAATAGTACAATGAGGAGACGAACGACCTAAAGAAGGGCGTTGGGTTGCTTATCTGGTGACGAGGCTAGGAATTCTCGTAACTTCTTGTAAGATCCATAAATCCTTGCTAAAGTAGGAAACTTGGAACTGCATTATCCAACAGCAGAAATTTGTTACACGAGTGATGGATTATCTTTGCAGAGAAGTGCTATAAAAAATTTAACCCAACGTCGAGTTACAGTTTTTTCTAATCAATGTGATGCATTGTGATAATAAAGTGAGATAATAATTGGGAGGTGAGAAATAATACCATGTCACATGTACTTATCTCCAAAAGCATATTGGCCAGAAAAATCCTTCAGCAGTTTCTCACGATCTGTGATACACAACAGATGCAAAATTGAGGACCATTATACATGCCACCTCACACAATGGGTCAGTGCATAAGTGGTTTTATTCTACACGATATTTCTTAAACGGTGTGTTTTTCACGCATAATTACTACAATGAACACCAAAATACTTCACAAACGTACCATTGAAACCTTTTTGTAGATTGGACTGAGCTCATGGTAGTTGCTATTGTGGACCAAATTTTTCCTCCATAGTTTTCTGATAAAAAATGTATATAAACATGAACTAGATTCACTTTAGAAATATAGGCAATTAGGCAACATAGCTAATACAAATACAATCTAACAGCAATTCCATCGTAATAATTAATGACTGATTAACAACAAATTGTATGCTTGAGCTGACGATACTTGGCACATACAATATGATTTCCTGATCAACATATCATTTTTTATATGAGCCTATCAATAAAATGATACACAAATAACCCGACTAAATTATAAGTAAATTCTTGTGGGTAGATATTGTATCACCTAACCATGTAATATTTAACCCGACTAAATTATAAATAAATTCTTGTTGGTAGATATTGTATCACCTAACCATGTAATATTTAACCCGACTAAATTATAAGTAAATTCTTGTTGGTAGACATTGTATCACCTAACCATGTAATATTTAACCCGACTAAATTATAAGTAAATTCTTGTTGGTAGACATTGTATCACCTAACCATGTAATATTTAACCTAACTAAATTATAAGTAAATTCTTGTGGGTAGATATTGTATCACCTAACCATGTAATATTTTTGTTAAGATGGTTTTGAAGTATTCACTACTAAGGGTAAACAAAAAGTAATAAATAGAATGTACACCCTGAAAAAAATACTAGCACAAATTACGTTATGTTTCTAAACAATTATTACTGTCAATGAAAAAGCCAACACCGAATGTAATATATCATTACGACAAAAACAAAAAGTAAAAAATAAATGGAGCTACATGACAAAAAGACAAGAAGAAAAATGTACCGCCCACCATGGGGCTCGAACCCACAACCACAAGGTTAAGAGCCTTGCACTCTACCAACTGAGCTAGACAGGCCTTGTTTGTTGCTTGAGCTGACGATACTTGACACCTACAATATGATTTCTCGATCAACATATCATTTTTTATGTGAGTCTATCAACATAATAGTACAAAAATAATCCGACTAAATTATAAGTGAATTCTCATTGACAAATAATCTATCAACCATGTAATATTTTTGTCAAAATGGTTTTAAAGTATTCACTACAAAGGGCAAAAATTCATATGTTTCATGTGAGTCTTTAAGTTCTCAACCTCACTTCCAAAAAAGAAAAAATAAATGGAGCTTCATGACAAAAAAGACAAAAAGAAGAAAAACATACCGCCCACCGTGGGGATTGAACCCACGACCACAAGGTTAAGAGCCTTGCGCTCTACCAACTGAGCTAGACGGGCTTTGTTGTTAGCTTGAGCTAACGATACTTGGCACCTACAACATGATTTCTCGATCAACATATCATTTTTTATGAGTCTATCAACATAATGGTACAAAAATAATCCGACTAAATTATAAGTGAATTCTCATCGACAAATAATCTATCAACCATGTAATATTTTTGTCAAAATGGTTTTAAAGTATTCACTACGAAGGGCAAATATACATATGTTTCGTGTGAGCCTTAAGTTCTCAACCTCACTTCCAAAAAAGAAAAAAAAAATACTAGGCACAAATTATGTTATGTTTCTAAACAATTATTACGTATGAATGAAAAAGCCAATGCCGAATGTAATATATAAATACGAAAAAAAGTAAAAAATAAATGGGACTGCATGACAAAAAGACAAGATGAAAAATGTACTGCCCACCATGGGGCTCAAACCCACGATCACAAGGTTAAGAGCCTTGCACTCTACCAACTGAGCTAGATGGGCCGTGTTGTTTGCTTAAGCTGACGATACTTGACACCTACAATATGATTTCTCGATCAACATATCATTTTTTATGAGTCTATCAACATAATGGTACAAAAATAATCCGATTAAATTAGAAGTGAATTCTCATTGATTATCAATATTTTTGTCAAAATGGGTTTAAAGTATTCTAAGAAGGGCAAAAATTCATATGTTTCTGTGAGCCTTAAGTTCTCAACCTCACTTCCAAAAAAAGAAAAATAAACACTAGGCACAAATTACGTTATGTTTCTAAACAATTATTACGTGTCAATGAAAAAGCCAACACCGAGTGTAATATATAATTACGACAAAAAGTAAAAAATAAATGGGCTACATGACAAAAAGACAAGAAGAAAAACGTAATAATAGGTGGTATGCTTGAGTAGACGATACTTGCCACCTGAAACATGATTTCCCTATTAACATATAGTTTTTTATAAGAGTAACAGCATAATGATATACAGATAACCAGACCCAATTATATGTGAATTCTCATTGGCACAGAGCTATAATTTTTGGTTTCCTTCTCTGAGAATGAGAAACCACAGAGTTTATTGCTCAATTTTCACTAGAGTTCACAGCGTTCTTGCATTAACAGGTTATACACTGAAGCTAATCATTTAATTGATGCAAGCTAATCATTCTCGTATGGACTCAAAACATAGAAAGTAGGATCTCATAACATATATATGATGCAAAATAAAATGTTCCTAAAGATTTTAAAATTCAGTTGGTGGACTTGATTATCCGCAGTTCAGAGCACACGTTAAAAATGAACTGTAGGCCAGTAGGAGCACCGTAGGAACAAGTAGTTAAATGCGAGGACATTTTTCATAGATCTAGAGAGCTCTCTTTTAAACGTCTCAATTCGTAGCTAGCCATTACTGATCTTACACGAAGATTAAGAGATTTTAGATGAAGATCAGAAGGCAGCAGCGCCTTCTGCGGATGTTTCTCCTCCAGATACTTAACAATAACAAGAAGAAAAGTGTGACGGTGTTACAAGCATAATTTAGGAGAGTAAGAGAAACAGAGGTTCAAAACGAAGCAGGAGAAAAGAAGGATGACTAGTATATTCAGATCCGCGAGGATCCGAAATCTTCTGAACAGGCATTTGCTAAGCCATTGGTCAATTCAGAAGTTCAGAAGCAAAAAATTCGTTAGGCAGTTTTTGGTTCTGTCGATTCGCATAAACACGTCAATCTCAAGGTTTACCTGGAGTTAATTGTTCTCCTCTCCCAAGGTTTACTGCTCTGTACTCGTAAGAAAGCCCTAAGCAACAGTTGCAAAACATTTCAGTAAACAAAAGTATCAAGTTCCACAACTTTCATTTGTTTGATTTACTATCACAACCTTCATTTCAGCTCAGAATCAATTTAAGTAATGTCACTATGCGTTTAACACGGATCAAACTCCTAATCTTCTATACTTCAAACTCAAATCTTCTATACTACAAACACAATCTCCATATCCGCTAAAAATCGATCTAAACAAGATAACGTGTATTTTACAACAAATCAAACTCAAATTCTTCTGCACTTCAAATCGAAGATGAATTTTCCAGTAAACTCAGAGAAGAAGAAAGACCTTTAAGATTCAACGCAAAGCGTACACGCCACGAGCAGGAGCTCCGCCAGAAAGAATAAACAAGCAGCTAATACGTTGAAGAATCGTCCGAACTTTTCTGTAATGACAAAAACAGAAGTATAATCAGCATTATACTACACTGCCTAAAGATTTCGAGTAAAGAAAGTGAATCCGTCTCTACAATTATTTCATCTTCAGATCAAACGATTTCAAGAAACCGCGCGCGCTCGAGAGAGAGAGAAAGAAGATACCTGAGCCTGAGCTTCGAAGTCCATGATCATCAACGAGAAGAGAAACAGCAGGAGACGCTGCTTGAACTAAAGCGGTTAGTAATTAAAGACTAGTGCGCTGCATTTGGCATGCGTTGTATTTATAGTCGGAATAAATACAAGAGGGAAAGAAAAAAAAGGAGTAGATGATCGTGAAAGGAAAAAATTTTTAATTTTCTTTTTCTTTTTTTCTAAAAAAAAAAAATGAACGTGTCCAATATTTTCCCTCCAAGCCTTCCATTTCATCGGATTATATAAATTAGGTAGAATTTTTTTTAACTGTAAAAATGGTTTTAAAAAATTATATTATACGTCTAATAAAATATAAAATATGATATGAAATTGAAAAAAAAAAAATATATATATATATATATATGGTGAGATAGAAAAATCCAAGTAATATGGAATATATTAATAACTTTATTTTATTCAACTTAATGAATTTATGTCATAATTTTTACAAAATAATAAAAATAAAAAAGCAAGTTTTGCACCGTATTTAAAATCTACAAATACATAACTTAATTAAAATATAAAAAAGCCAGCACAAAATACATTAATTTATATTTTTGTCATATAAAAAAGTAGAACAAATTACACTTTTAATTAATGAAGTTTAAGCTTATTATCTATTTAATACCTAAAATTTCAAAAACCATTGGTCTGGTTGGATTTCTATTAATAGTTGACTTTCTATGCATTTTAAATTTAAATTCAAGTTCTCTTCTAGAAAAGGGGAGATCGATCAACATCAGCCAACAGCCCTGCAGATTTTGCAATCCCATGTTCAACAGAGGTCATATTACAATGAAAAGCTAAAACTTAACCATCTGTAAATATCACAATACAATAATCACTGGGACGGGTACGGGTACTGCCGATGGGCAGTTCATACGGTTGTTGCAGCAACATTCAATCGAGCCAAGCACCATACTAATCTTTTCGGAGGTCCAGGTATTCGCGACGAATGCCATCAGCATTAAGAATGACGATTTCGAGCTTGTCACCCTGAAAAAAACAAATTTTCAGAATTGGAACCTACATAGATACCCATAATAAGGATATAAATGGTGGAAGAAAATTACGGTGTAGATATCCCTCTCAGTAGCAGATGCAAAAACAGTTTTCACCAGGTCAATTGCTTCAGCTTCTGAAAGAGGGGTTGCAGAATCCTGTTCATCATAATTTGTTGATTGAGATAATAGGAGTGCATGCCAAAACAGGAAAAACAACAAACTCAACCCAGCCAAGTTCGAACGATTGGTATGAATTTTGAACTACCAGATAGGCAAAGTAAACGTCATACACGCAGGGGGGCACGAGGCGGACTAACATGAGAAGAATAGACAAGTTAAGAGGGCAGAGGGAACTATCTGGTGTTATCTGTTTCGGGATGAATCGGCTCCTTTCGGCTATGCTTCATATTTACAGATTACAGGACTAGTGTATTTTCAGAGAGATCGAGCTCTCCGAATGTCCGAGTATGTTACCTTTTCCCTTCTATAATGCCTAATAGAGCATTTCCAGTTTTCTTACTCCCAATGGTTCTATTGTTATTCTTGTTCGTATCGAAAGGATAAAACTAAAATAATAATGATAATAACTATTTGGTTCAGTTTGGATATCTATTGGGTTCGGTATATTTTCGCCAAGCAGTCCGCGTTTAGTTTCCAGGAGGAAGGAAAACCATTGATACCGATTTCTATTTTTCTCGTTTCCATTAACATTCCTCCCAAGGAAGGGTAAGAGATCATACCTGTGCAGGCAATAATAGAGGGCTGGGAGATTTCAGTTGGTTATCTAAAAAGGGCGTGATGAGGGTCGAACCAGAACCCTGAGCACTGTATCCAACTCTCTCATAAGAACCAACAGCATCATAGGTGAACACACAACCCTTTCCTATTTCAAGAAGAGAATAACTATATAGTTAATGGGAAAGGGAAGCATAAAACTGGAACGACAAGCAGGGAAGCCACGTACCTTCATTATCAAGTCCGCCCAACACATTAAAAGCATAATAAGGAAAGAACCGTTTGAAGTACAATGTATTCGAGAGCAGTTGAGCCATCGCAGGGCAGCTCATTTGCTTGTTGTGTTGATGTTGGTAGGTCTGAAAGCAGAGCAAGTAGCATATGAGACATCAAAATAATCCTCCAACCCGAAATCTTATGTCTATAAAATACATAATAAATTTAAAAACTGGAATTGACAAAATGCTTTGTCCATCAGCTTCTCCCGAAAATCGTGCAATTGAGAGTCAAAGTACTAAATTTACACCACAAAATTCAATTCAAAAGAAAAATGGGGTTCCCATTATGAACAAAATTAGAGTATGCGTGAAAGACTAGGATCAAAACTCCAACATGAAAAGGGAACACATATTAAAATAGAAGCAAATTGCAAAACTTGCTAGTCTCTTCGCTCCTAAAACCATTGTAAGATCGAAACATCATTGTGACATCGAAAACAAAAAGGAGTCGTATCATTGAACAGATCAATATTCAGGCTATCAAACTCGCATAAAATAAGAACAATTAGGTGCATCAAAAACTCAAAGCCTTGTGAATGAAAGCTTTAAAGCATAGCATTTGGCTAATATGCATTACAGAGATCATCTTCATTAAAATGAAAGTCTCACCAAATGTCTAGCCGCCAGAACCTTTTGTAAGGCTTTTACATCAGCTTGAAAGCCAGAAGAGGCCATCACAGCTTTGTCAGCCCTGCAACATCAAAAATCATAACATGAATAAGTGCATCAATAAAACGTAAACATATGTGGATAAGTGAGCTTTTACAAGAGTGGAGTATACTAGTAATGTCACAACCATAGAATCGAAAATGCATGATGTTTCATGGAATTAACATGAATGAGAATTAATATTAGATGAAATACAATAACAAAATATGAGGAAACCTTTCTTGACCAGATTGAAGAAATCATGTAACAATCGCATAACATAACAAAAAAATACAAAAAAATCAAACCATTAGTTATATTGGCTACTTGAATTACATTACAAATTTAGTACTAAACATGAAAACATACTAGAAACCTGAAGCTAAGATGATTTGGATGAGGAAAGAAGATTACTATGAGGGGGGAAAGAATCCATTTCTAATATCCATGGAGAGTACAAGAAACATCAAACCATGAAATTTCGAAAAACTATTCCGAAACTCGTCTAAGCTTAAGAATTCAAATTCCAGAAGAAAGTTAAATTCGATAAGAGATTGACATACAGCTTACAAATTTTGGAGTAATCGCGAGTGAGGATGTTGTAACCCGTAGATAACCGAGTATCAGCGGCGATTACACAGTAATCGGCACCGGCAATCGCAACACAGGATCTGCACAAAGTTCGTCACTGATTCATCACCGGAACAGATAATAAAAGCATCAAAATACTGCATAGAGAATGAGAGAGAAAGAGAAAGTACCCGCCATTGTTGTCGTAAGGGGACCAGTTGGCTTGCTGCTTCGTCATGGCGAATAGGTCAGATAAAAGCGAAGGCGTCTTGAGAGAAGAGGAACTTAGCAGAGCAAACCCACAAAACTTGCTCTCTGGTTTATGGCTTTCTCGCTTGTTTTCTTTAGATCTCGCGGTGTCTTTTCGCTCAAGAAAAATGAAATGGAGTTCAGGACAAAAACGACGGCGTTTTTGTCGGCCCGACCCAAAGCCATTGGTGGGCTCTTCCAATAAATTTGGGTAGCCATCAATTCATATAACAAAATGAAGCCCAAGCCTTTTTTATTTATTATATTATTATTTGTTAAGAAATTTTGAGAAATCCAAAAACCAAAGATAATTCTCCCCCTTTTGACCTAACGTACTCGCTGGTACACCGTTCGGTGATTGGCTCCAATACCATTTGTAACAGCCCAAACCCACCGCTAGCAAATATTGTCGGATTTAATTCATTACGTATCGTTGCTAGTCTCACGGCATTACGTATCGTTGCCAGTCTCACGGTATTTAAAACGCGTCTATTAAGGGGAGGTTTCTGTTGGATGATGAAAGTCCCACATCAACTAATTTAGGGAATGATCATGGGTTTATAATCAAGGAATGCTCTCTCCATTGGTACGAGGCCTTTTGGGAAATCCCAAATTATGCCCACTAGAGCTTATACTTAAAGTTGACAATATTATACCATTGTGGATAGTCGTATTCATCTAACAGTTTCCACACAAACAGTTTAACTTTAGCACTATTTACTTAACCTGTGCTATAGGCTCCCCCCTCCCCGTGCTATAACAACGTAAGCTCACCGCTCACAAAGTGATTTTTCAAATCGTTCGATATGATGCGTTATTCATTTATTCTAAGAGTGCGGGACTTTTATTGGAGATTAATATAGGCTCCCTCCCCTCGACAATATTTCCTTAACCTGTTCTATAACAACGATATAATTCAATTTTATATTTTCAATATATATATATATTCTTTTTTTTTTTTCAAGGTAATGACGATCACATGGAAGGCAATCCATTGGCAGTTGAAAAGAAGAAAAAAAAACCCTACTTTTCTTGTGACATAATTAGCATTTATCACAAGAAAAAACATGAGAAAAAGAGAAAAAAAAAGCCCTTTAGGAAAATATGTAAGACAGAAACAGGAACAACCTGGCATTTCCAAACAACATAATCCAAACCAAAAAATCCATAAAAGAAGAAAATTGTCGAAAATAGATGAAAAGAAAGCAGAGGACATTCATTCATTACAGCCATCATCATCCTAATAACAGGTACAGCACAAAAACCAAACTAAATCAGACATGTCCTAATTAATCAAGATTAAGAAAAATGTGTGAATCTAACCATGGAAAGTTGGTATTAAAACCTTCCCTAATTTTCACTGTTGTGGTGGTGGTGGTGGTGGCGGCGATCATAGTCAAATCTCAAATGGTAATTTGGTAAGAACAATCAGAAAGCCTAGATCATGTTCATATCAGATCAATGTGGTCAGCAAGGAGGATTATCTGATGTTTTTTTGGGTAAGCAACTAATTAGATTAGCCCGGGAGCGATATATTGATGTCGGTGGGCGAATTTCTCGGCTCCTGCAAGGAAGAACGCACGGCAGCATTGGCACCCCAATTGTCTCTCTGGAAAGCCGAAGGAGCAAAACTGGCCGGTTTTAGGGACCCGGGATTTGGTTGACCGTTACCGTTTAAACTGTCGTCTGTATCGGCATTGGAAGTCGGCACGGTGGTGGCTGGTGTTGTGGTCGGGGCTGCAACAGGGGCTGCAGCTGGTACTGATTCAGGCTTCTGTTTCTTTACTTTCGGCTCCTGTTGGCTACTAGTTGGTAGAAAACTCCCTACCACAACCTAATTTGGAGGAAAGTTCAAAATCAGGATTCCATGGAAATGCTTCAAATTGTGGCAATAAAAAGAGGTTTGATACCTGTACAGGGCCTGCAGCTATAAGCAAACCAGCTACCCCTCCCCCAACAACACGACCGTCCGGGCTCGCCAAGGAGACACTCATCCCACCTGACCTGCTTCTCGATCCTTGATTTTCAGTAGGCATGAACGATCCAGACAATGAAAGTATCTCGAAACGACCCTGACAATATATTATCCTTATTGATCATCTTGACGAAAACAATGCAAAGGCAATTTATACTACATACACAACAAGCAGAGAACATCTCCCATTTCAAATTTAGCGCAGTAGAAATAATCCGAGTAGAAAACTAGATGACTTGACGTACCTCATATGTTAAAGTACCACCTGAAGAATCGGGCTGCCGGAGAGTGACATTGGAAATTACACCATTCGCAGAAAGAATACAGATCGCTCGAGGACCTTGTTGGGAAAATGATATGATCTTCATAGTGACATCCTTTTCAACAGCCAAACATCCAAAAAAGAACGACAATATTCAATTATCTCGTATGACAGAGAGTTCAGAGCGGAAAATAATAATTCATGACTTTGTTGTTTCGGGTGTCTCGATTGAGAGGAAGTTTATGCCTCCTTGCGGCTGTCGGATAATACTCCATCTTGGTTCTATTTTTGTTTTGTTGGACTAGAACCCCTTTCCGTAGTTCTTTTTGCACACATTTTTTTTTTCCTTCTTCTTTCTCAAAGAAAGTTCGATTTCTTACCCAAAAAAAAAACTGCAGCACCAGCTCTACGAAGTCATAATCGAATTTTTCTGTTGGCTTTCCCAATTCTTTCGTGAATCATAATGAAAGCGCTAGAGGCTCTAGCTTCTACCTACTTCGCCTGCTTATTACAATGGCGGAAATGAACGTGCTATTTTCAAATCGATTGATAATGGCGGAAATGAACGTGCTATTTTCAAATCGATTGATAGATAGCCTGATCTATACGAGGGCATTCAGTGCCATTCAACTCTATCTTGTTTTGGTTATAACAGGAGCAATCACTCTCAAGTAAAAGACATTGAACCTAATGGCTTGTGTGGGAGACAAACCTAGCCATTTTTTCTTTGGGAAATAGCACATAAAGCCATAGAACAAGTGAAAATATTCAAAGAAGAATGCCCTACATGACTCTATTTCCAGAGACAATCAGACACAAAGCCAAAGCCACTATTTATGCAGTGCACAGATACTAAAAATTTTTCGACAAAAATTCTCAATATCTTCATATGGCATCTCATATTTCCGACGGAGGTCAAGGATTTATTGGACACAACTTCATTGTACCCTCCTTTCAAGAATGCAAAAACCTTTATCATGGCTTTCTTTGGTACAAAACTCTTCGATAACGTTGTTTATGAAGCTATATCTTGGTGTGAACGGTCTAATATTTCCGCTTCCTACCGCTATAACCTCACTCATTGTAAATTGGGAAGGTCTTTGCTAAACATCATGGATATTACATCCCTTTTGTAAATTTCAAACATCAATGAAACTGTCTCTTATCAAAAAAAGAACATACCTCGCCAGCATTGACCGTGATGATATGAGGCATGAAATTAGTACCGACAGAACACGCATTCCATTCTCCTATAATAATTGACAGAGAATAAATATAATTTCAGAATACCAACAGCTGAAAGCCAACAAGGTAAAACAATCAAAAGGCACTAATTATGCATAAATAGAATGCAAAAACTATCCCCAACAACAAAGTAACTGAAACTTTCAAAAAGGAAGCGAGAAAACCAAAGACCCGACTCACCGACACAATAGATTACTTGCCTATTAGCTCATCTACTAATAAAATATTGGCATGACCATCAAACATACCTAACTAAGTACCATGATCAAAAACCACAACCACGAGAAGCCATAACGGAAACGTATAATCAGTAGAAATGATCATGACAAAAACTCAAGTTGTTTCGGTCATATTATAATCTTAATGGTCATGGTAGACGAGATCTGAAGCAATCGACTCCAGAAAGGGAGCTAAAACTAGTTTCTTCAATCAGATTCTCTCCAATTCAACCAAAAGTACTTAATCGAAATGCTTAACACGAAACAACTGTTTATTGAAAGATGTTCAACAAGGTATCAATAACAAGAAAGAGATTTCGAGCCTAGACGAGAAGCCATATGGTAGCAGCAAAATCTCCAACAGTTACTACATTCAACACCTTAGTTTGGTAAGCACTACAGTTAACAACAATATAAAGAAGAAGTAGAAGTAGAAGATATGCTAGAAATCAAAAATAGTTGGTTACACACGTGACGAAAATTTCAACGAATCTCGAAGAACTTAAAGGACTTTTTAGTAATTTAAACGTGATTTGAGATTCAACCTACTATAAATACCAAAAAGATTCTCATATTGATGACCATCTAAGAAAGGAAGATGTTTAAACTACTTTAAATTGTATTTGACCTACTTTAACTATATCTTACACTAACATAACCTACACTTTTAAAAAGGAAACTTAAAAGTTCAGATAAGACAGATTGAACCAGCTAATTGGTGACTTTCAACGGAGTCGAATCGTTCTAACCGTTAACGTGAAACGGAGAGGGTTTCTATTTTTCCACACAACTTTCAGCTCATGTAACAAGGATTTGAATCTACGCTATATCCCAAGTAATGCCAAAAATAACTCCGAGAAAAGCTCGATCGCTCAGCATTAACTTATGATCTAGACTTTAAACTGTCAAAAAACCATTTTAAGATCAGGCATCTACAGAGAACAAATAGAATGGTTAAAAAAAAAAAAAACATTACAATTTTGTTGGGAATTTGTAGGAAGTGACAAACAAAAAGGCTACGTGAGAAGAATATTCTAAGAGCCCCTAAAAGGTCAGATCTCAATATAAAGGCAGCCGTACACATCTTATTTGTTGAATGAGGACATATCCCAACATGTAAGGCCCCACGTGAATTTTGTAAGGCAAAATTCAAATGGGAACCTTTTTTGATAATATTCTTCATGATATTCAGAGATCATTTCAAGGAAACCAAATCTCGAACCCGCCACCATTTTTATACACAAACTGCAAATTATGATGAAAATCCAACAAAGACTATCAAAAATTAGTGGGAATTCTACAGTTCTAAGGATCCCATCTGAAATTATATATAAAAAAACAACATCGGTTGCCCATTACCTATATATTCCATTCCCATTTTCTTGTGGTGCTTGAATTCA